AAATAGAGAGAGAGAAACATCAATGATGAGAGAGCATCATTGCTCGGCTGCCTCCTGCACGCCCCCTACTGGGGATCGAGCCCATAACCCCGGACATGTGCCCTTGACCGGGAATCGAACCGTGACCTCCTGGTTCATAGGCTGATGCTCAACCACTGAGCCACACCGGCCGGGCTCGTTTTTGAAACTCAGCTCATCCCTGATCTTCACAAACATTCTCCTGACTCCCCCCCCAACTGATTTTTTTTCACTCTCCTAACTCCTATCTACAGTCGACATCACGTTTGCCCCAAACATCTTTATTTTGAGATTGTTTCTGTCCTTTCGCCTTTGTTCTCTATGTCTTTGCAACTAAGCATGGGGTCATGATTTCTGCTCCTTTGTTTTGTTTTATCATCATCTCAAGTGTCCAACATGATGTGAAATGGCGTTAGCATTTTGTCAGTAGCGACTGAGTCATGCGTTTGAGAGTTTCCTGAGTGAAAAGCTAGACGAGATTTTAGTTCTGGGGAAGACATGGACAACACAGAGCCATACGGAGCCAAACTTACCAGAGAAGACGCTAGGGATCTTGGAAAGAAAGCTTTTGACAGTGCGAATGGGAATTCCGTTTTTCTCATCTTGCATGCGTGCTATGACGTCCTCCATCTACATGACAATGACAAAACAATGAAAACCTTTCAGAAGTTGCATTTTTCATAAAAACCAGTTTTCATAACAATGTTGTACATCCGTCGTGCTCAGCTAAGAATAATGGGATACTCCTACCTTGCGAGACTCTGAAACATTCATATTTGAAGTTTGGTTAAAAATGATGGAGAAAACAGCAGGGAGAGTGGCCATTTCAGGCTCCATTAACCTACTAAGAGGCGTTGTGAATAATGTCGCTCTCCTAGTTGTACATGCTCTGCTTGGAAAGGTTGAGATAAAAGTGCTTATTTCTGTAACTGTCAGAAACCACTGTCATAGCAAAATGCACACTTCATTAATATTATTATCTCTCCTGAACTCACCGAGAAGGAAAACAGAAGCCCTAGAAGCCACCGTTTGGGTTTCCTCTTGAGGCAAAGACAGACGGAAAAAATCTAGTTCCTAAAAGCTAAAATCAGTCCCGAGGGCCACGTGTAAAAATGCATCTGCTGTATTTACTGAAATTCCCTTACGCATTCACTCCGACGATTTCCTATCAAGCATGGTTTTTACTCACTGGGTTACCTGCTTTTTCGCTATTAGCAATAGCCAATTGGATGAGGAGAATGTTCAAAGCAGACCAACTCATGGAGCAAGCTGGGCAGCAATGGGGACGAGGGGCTATGAAAAGTAACTCTAATCAATGATCAAATTCTTTGGGACAATTTATTTATTTATTTTTTAAATAAGCATTTTTTAAATATTTTTCTTTATTCATTTCAGAGAGGAAGAGAGAAGGAGAGAGAGATAGAAACATCAATGATGAGAGAGAATCATTGATCGGCTCCTCCTGCACACCCCGCACTGGGGATCGAGCCCGCAACCCAGGCATGTGCCTTGCCGGAATCGAACCTGCGATCCTTCAGTCTGCAGGCTGACGCTCTATCCACTGAGCCAAGCCGGCTAGGGCTCTTTGGGACAATTTAAGTCCAAAAGATTCCAGTATCTCAAAAGAAGATGTATATTACCCATTACCTAGATACGAGTAATAGATCTATCTATCTATCTATCATCTATCTATCATCTACCTATCATTTATCTATCTATCTATCTATCTATCTATCTATTTATCTATCTATCATCTACCTACCTACCTATCTATCATCTATCTATCTATCTATCTATCTATCTATCTATCTATCATCTATCTATCTATCTATCTATCATCTATCTACCTATCTATCATCTATCTATCTATCTACCTATCTCCAAACCGGAGACGGAGAGAGTGAGGTGAAAAACCTGGACCGGAGCTTTCTCTAATATTCCTGTTTGCCACTGGTCGCGCCCTGGGACACCCGTGCAGACAGAAGAGATGGGACGTGTACCCCTTTGCTTAAGAACCCCTTTTCTCCTCTGGTACAGAGGGAAAATAAAGGGTGCATCTTATAAAGGGGGATCGATAGGGAAAAGGGCCAAAAAAGATGTGCCAAAGGAGCCCCCCAAAACACACTGTGCTGCAAACACACAG